TTGGTTGCGTGATCACGTCATGCTTTGACCGTTCAAAGCTCTTACAGGTAAAGTAATTTGCGGCGCCTCAAGCCTCGCAAACGCCCTTTTTGCACCTTTTACAGATCTGTGAAAGGTGCAAAAGCTTATCAAAAAATAACATCAGATCAGTTATGTTCAATGACTTGGAAGGATCAGACCCACCCGAGAGCTCAATTCGGGGATGCAGGTTCTGTGAAACCTGCGTCCAGTGGTTTTCCGCCATCTTCAACTCTTTTCGCGTAACTTCTCAATGGCGCAAAACCTGTTGGTCGGTTTTTCGCCCAACCCCTATTGTGTTTCCATCCCTTCATTAACCCTTGAACAACTTCTTAATACAGTACTGACATACCTATGAACGTCCACTGTGATTTAATCATCATTTTGAACATATGCAACGCATACCCCCGCAAAAGGGTGTTTTTACTTTATAACTTGTTACGCCTGGGTCTGAACTCAGTTTAGTTGGTTCCATTGTGTTGGCATACCTTCATTGACCCTTGAACAACTTCATAATACATGACTGGCATACATGTGAAGTTCAACTGTGATTTAATCATCATTTTGAACATATGATGCACATACCCCCACAAAAGGGTGTTTTTACTTTATAACTTTTGACGCCTGGGTCTGAACTCAGTTTAGTTGGTTCCATTGTGTTTCCATCCCTTCATTAACCCTTGAACAACTTCTTAATACAGTACTGACATACCTATGAACGTCCACTGTGATTTAATCATCATTTTGAACATATGATGCACATACCCCCGCAAAAGGGTGTTTTTACTTTATAGCTTTTTACGTCTGTGTCCAAAACTTATTTAGTTGGTTCCATTGTGTTTCCATACAATCATTACCCCTTGAACAACTCCCTCATATATTACTGGCATACATGTGAAGTTCAACTGTGATTTAATCATCATATTGAACATATGCAATGCATACCCCCGCAAATGGGTGTTTTTACTTGATAAATTTTTACGTCTGTGTCCAACACTTATTTAGTTGGTTCCTTTGTGTTGCCATACTTTCATTAGCCCTTGGACAACTTCATAATACTGTACTGGCACACGAATGAACCACTGTGATTCATTCATCATTTTGAACATATGCAACGCATACCACCGCAAATGCGTGTTGTTACTTGATACCTTTTTACGCCTATGTCCAACATGCGTAAAAATGGTTTGCATTATGTATCCAGGGTCCCATTAATGAATACACAATGGGACCTAACAGCACACACCTGACCAACTGTTGAGGATCACGTTTTCAAACATATCCAAACAAAGCCACCTCCAACGCCATAGTTTTGAGGCAGGGAAAGGCAAAAGCAGCATCTTCATTTATCTCTAAGCACCACTATCCAAGCTTCATTCACCCTGTTGTCCAGTCGTGTTTGTAGTCATGCGCCTTACCACAGTTTTTTTTTACATTCTTTTGATATAATCAGATGGGTGTCCGATAGTTATGTCAATGTCACATATGTAGAATGTCACATATGTAAAGCGACACATATGAATCTGTCACTTTCACACATTTTGTGATCGTACAGTCAAGTTCATGGCTGAACATCAAATATCATCCGCCACCTAACTTAACTAAGTCCCTCGAGGCTTGACACCTGTTAATCAACAAGTTGAATCAGGATGTCTTCGCCAGAGGGACTTACATCTAATGTCATGTTTTTGGCCTGAGGGGTAAGGATTTCCTTGCAGAGGAAATCTTGATTCCTCCTTTTCCGTGAGCTCACCGGGGATCTTTTTACCGCGCTTCATGGGGTTATGCGCCGACCTCCTTTTCAAAATGTACAAGTTGAATCGTAGAGATTCCTCGGTTGCTTGCTGAGCTACATAAGTTGCTATTTTGTGATTTTCACCTGTAGCTCACATGTAGCTCTGCTAAGTCGAGGACTTATTTCGATGAAACACCGAGCTACAAGTGAGCTACAAGTGAGCTACATACCAAAATGACGGAATTAAAAGATATGTAGCTCGGCGAGCAACCGAGGAATCTCGACGATTCCAGTTGTACATTACGCAGCGAGGTTCAGCGCATATGCTCACGAGGCGCGGTAAAAAGATCCTCGGTGAGCTCAAGGAAATGGCAAAAACGAGAATTCCTCTGCAAAGGAATCCTTACCCCTCAGGCCAAAAAGTCGACTTTAGATGTAAGTCCCTCATGCGGAGACATGCTGATTCAACTCGTTGATTGACAGCTGTCTCAGCATCGAGGGACTTAGTTAAGTTAGATCCGCCACCCTCATTGTTCTAGCCAACCGTCGAATGGTGATTTCAACCAGCGAATCGATTATCAATCAGTTCAATCTTCATTCTCAACCACGGACGGACCGCGCACCAAAGTGCCATCACCAGTTTATACAGCTTGCGAATTCAAATCCGGAATGGTGGGCAGGTTTCCATTCGATCATTCGCACTAGGCCAATTTGCCATTGACCAAGTTTCCAACGATCTTCCCGATTAGGCAACATTCGATGTCACTTTGTCCGTGAGTACACATATTAAACTACTCAATTGATTTCACATGGGCCAGTCCACAGAGGATTCCAAATCGGCCTTGACCTTTACGCCGAGAATGCCTCAAAATCATGTATCAAATAATGTACTAACATTCATTACTCCCTTTGTTGGACTTGCGCGATGCCGTCAAAACGCGTCATTCGTGGGTTGAACGACCAGGTCAGAGGAACGAAACCTGTGACACCGGCGCAAGAGCAGCTGCAGGCACGCCGCCAGCAAGACTTGGAACACACAGCGAAATCAACTGCTGCGATATTGAAGAGGCTTAAAGACGAACACAATCGACCTCCTCCTCTTCGTGACGATTTACATCCGCCTCATCATGAAGAGGACAACTTTATCGCGCCCCACGATATGGACATAGACGAGCCTCCAGATGATGACCCTGGTGAGGCACCCAATTTGAACCGTTTTATGCCAGATCCACATCACGTCGAAGCGGAACCTGTCGACCCTGTTGTTGCCGCTTTGCGCAGGGATCAGCATTTAGCTGACCGCTTAAACCACGAGAATAAATGGTTGTGGCAGTACGCGGTGATGTTACCTACCTTTCTTCGATGTAAGATGGAAACATCGAATTGGGGGAGACGAAGAGAAGTGGAAGCAAGACTTACGAGAACCCTGCACCTGTGCGATTGCGACCGAGCGTGATGTTGACCTGGTGGATTTAACGTGTGAGTCA